GGGAGAGAGACGAAGTAAACAAACAAGCAGGAAAATKAAACTTATCGCCGTCTTTTTTTTACCGACCTCAAAAAAAGTTATCGTGCAATTAATTGATTTATTGACTATCGCGACAGGCCTACTATTCATTACAGAATCCGGCTGCCAGGCCACCTGTTTCTGGTTCGCCAAACACTTCCATCAAATCCTGAGCAAATCAGGGATCTCTCCAGCCCTTTATTCCATCCACTCCTTTCGTAAAGGAGCTGCCTCTTCAGCTTCCTATTCAGGGATCCCCGACCACGTTATTCAGATCCGAGGTCGCTGGTCATCCCAAGCATACCGCACTTACATCCACTATCATCCCCTCGAACTTTATCATGTGCACTCTCGACTCGGGGCGTTTCATCCCTGATACTTTTGGGGGTCCAAAGCAGGCTCAGGAAAGCATCCTTCCTGGAGACCATGCCCGACTTGGAGTCTTCTCCTCAAGCCTCCTTCGACGTACCTCCCCAGACGTCTCATCATTCATCCCACTACCCTTCGACCCCTTCCTTCATCCCCACTACCCTTCGACCCCTTTCCTTCAATAAAAATTTTTAACTGTTACCATGGTGTGGTCCTTGCTAGTGAAATGAAGTTAAGACATTAACAGGTTTGGGAGCAGGACCACGCCTCTCACCTGCAGCTATCAGTCATCGTCTATTTAAACTCGCCTCACCTGACGTCTGCCCTTAGCTCGCTGTCTCGACACCCACCCTCCCCTTTCACCCCACTTAACCCCCTCTGTAAGGCCTCATTGCGTCACCTTCTTTGCTCCCTTCATCCCTTCCTCATCCCCTCACCCCTTCATCCCTCCCTCATCCTTTCATCCCCCATCACCTCTTCATCCCTTTAACCCTTCATCCCTCCATCTCTGCTTCCTTCTTTCTCCTCCATCCCTACCTCAAACTACCTCCTAATCCATTCCTTTTCAGGTTCCAGCTGGGAGGTCCAAAGCAGGCTCAGGAAAGCATCCTTCCTGGAGACCATGCCCCACTCTGAGTCTTCTCCTCAAGCCTTCTTCGACGTACCTCCCCAGACGCCTCATCATTCATCCCACTACCCTTCGACCCCTTCCTTCATCCCCACTACCCTTCGACCCCTTCCTTCATCCCCACTACCCTTCGACCCCTTCCTTCATCCCCACTACCCTTCGACCCCTTTCCTTCAATAAAATATTTTAACTGTTACCATGGTGTGGTCCTTGCTAGTGAATCTAAAGTTCTCACAATTTCTTGTGTTTGTTGAGGACAGGATTAACTTTCCCTGCCTCGCCAAAAAGAAATGTGATGTAGTTCTTGAAGCCAGAAGTGGTGTTCAGAAATTCAGCTTCACCAGACAAACTAATGGCATTTTTAAAGCAATGAGTCAAACTCTTTACAATTAACTGTGTGAATGCTGAGTCAAGAAATTAATAGTTTTTATCTTCCGTAAATTTTTCTGGACTACTTCTGTGGTCTTTTGGCCATTTAAACCATTCAGGCAACAAAACATTCAGCTTATTTGGGACATAGGTATGGTTTTTGTAACTTTAATACTTTTTCTTAATTTTTCTTTAGATTTTTTGTCCCGAAGTGCAACGGAATCTTCTATGTGTAATCTTCAGCATACTTGTTTTATATTAAGTATTAGTTACTTTAGCTTCAGCTACTGTGTTTGCTATTTTTTAACCTTCTGCTTAAGTATTTCTAACTTGTAGCTACTGTTTTGCCAGTTTTAGCCACTGTTTGTTAGTTTACTTCTGTGTACTAACTTGATGGTTTTGGCTTCTATTACTTCTAGTCTTAGTTTTGAGATACTGTTTTTATCATTTTAGCATTCTAGCTTTTTGGCTTTCTGTTTTGATTATTTTAGCTTCTAGCTACAGTTCTAGTAATTTGAGATTTTAACAAAGGTTCTAGC